AGAGAGGGAGAGAGAGGAGAGAGAGGGGGAGGAGAGAGGGAGGAGAGAGAGGAGAGAGAGAGGGGAGAGAGAGAGGAGAGAGGGAGGAGAGGAGAGAGAGAGAGGGAGGAGGAGAGAGGGAGGAGAGAGGGCTGGAACTCAGTCTCCAGGCAGGTCAGCTCACAACCATCTGCAACTCCAGTTTCAGGGGACCTGATGACCTCTTCTGGCCTCTTTGAGCACTGCATGCACATGAGGTGTGTGTGTGTGTGTGTGTGTGTGTGTGTGTGTGTGTGTGTGTGTGTGTGTGTGTCTGTCTGTCTGTCTGTCTCACACATACCAATATTACTATTAAAGAAATAAAAATAAAAATGGTTTAAATATGAAAAATGAGAATCCATAGCTAGACCCCATTCTAATCTAAGCCAGGACACAGCCCTTGTAGTCCTAGTAGCTGGACCCAGCTCCCACTCTGGGGATGCAGGCTCCATACAAAGTTCATTGCTCCTTGCCTGGTGACAGTTTTCTGTAGTCTGTGCTTACAGTGTGGGGCACCCTGCCTGAGGGTCCATGGTTCTTTTGTCCTTTTTTTTCACTGGAGCTACAGCTTACCCTCTCTCTAGGACACAGGTCGGTCCCTAGAGGGCACGTTTCAGACAAGTCACCTGTACCGCCGCCATGTTTTCAGCATGGACTTAGCACAGAGCAGGGATCCACCTGACCATCGCCTGCCTTCCTAGACCACAGACACCGATCTAAGGCAACACTGTCTTGCACGAGGCGGAGAACATCACCACTAGAAAAGTATGTGTGGTAAGAATGTAAGGTGGCTCACTTCCTGCTAACTGTAGGCTCCTCTGAGACACAGACATCCCACTGCTGGAACTACACCCAGAAGATCTGAGAACATTTAAAATGTTTGGCATAAAAGTACATGTAAAATCCATTAAACAATGTCAGGTGGTGGTGGTGCACACCTTTAACCCCAGCACTCGGGGAGGGCAGAGCCAGGCAGATCTCTGAGAGTTCGAAGCCAGCCTGGTCTACAGAGCAAGATCCAGGAGAGGCACCAAAACTACACAGAGAAATCCTGTCTCGAAAAAAATAAAATAAAACCATTAAACAAATTTTCATTACTGTATTACTCATACTAAACAAGAAGCATAAATAACCTGAAAGTCCGTTACTTGAAGGATGGATAAAGAGGATGCAGTACATCCAAATAATATTCAGCCAAAAAAAGGAATTAAGTATATCTGCTATAATATGGACAAACCTTTAAAACACGGTGCTAAATGAATGAAGCCAAGCACAAAAGACCACATATTGTTATAAATCCACTCACCTAAAATGTGGGAGGCCACAGAAGTTTCCTTGTGAGGCCCGAGTTTGCCTGACACAGCAGAGCCACATAAGGGGCTGATGTGACCACAGACAAGGTTGCCAGGTGGTTGGAAGGGTCTGCACTTGGCCGTGCCTGGGGGGAGGTCTTTTGTCCGCCCCCTGCCCCGGCATTCTTTAGAGGCCTTTGTCAGAGACTGTCAGGACCTGATGGATGAGGATCCAGGCCCTCCTGAGGCTATTCTATGTTTCTGTCTGTCTGTCTGTCTCTAGCTATACTTCTAATATTTCCTGCTGCTCCCACTCAAGAGTACCTGGGGGAAGAGTGGGGGTGAATGGCCCCACACAATGAAACATGCAGAATGTTAGTGGCTGCCAGGGACTGGAAGGGGGGGCAGGACAAGGGGGGACAGGACAAGGGGGGACAGGACAAG